CAAGCTCTTACCCATAACTCAGCGCGGAATTAAAATTAAACTTAATTAGTAACCGATGTATTCTTCCAGACTGTTCTACATCTATGCTAAAATTTCAGCGAAATCCATCTATCCAAACATTCGCGTTTATATTAGTAAGATTTGAATGCATCAAATTTTTTGATTTTTCTTACGGTGGACGAAAACATCGGGATGCAACCTGCACATATCTGAGAAGAAATTCAAAGATATCTGTGAAGTCAACCCGCACTTGGCCAGCGTGGTTGACTATGACCTAATCACCCCTAACTTAGGGTAGGCTCCGAGCCCTTCGGTGGGGATATATAGTGAGCTGATGATGATGATGAATGCATCAATTTTTTTTATTCAAATTTTGATTTAATTTACCATTTAACAGAATGCCTTTAATATTATAACTAAAGCTTATTTTAATGTAACAAATCGTACACAGATAATTTTCATTTTGAACCTTAAAACTTAAGCACTAAAGTTCAAAATTTCATACAGAATCCTAATGGTAGTAATGCAGCATTTCGAGAACAATCCAGTCATTTGTACAATTGCTAAGCATCACTCGTCCTACTCTAGCGAGTTGCTTCAAACGTAAAGGGAACAAAACCACGCCAGAAAATGACTCAATAGAATAAACGAGCATTTTGACATCATTTTGAATGCCTTTTTTACTGACAGGATACATGTCATTATTGTAAACTGCTCCATTCCTGGATTTGGCACTTGACTTGTAATCTGGAGGTCCTGGGTGCGAATCCCGCCATGTACCAATGCGTTTTTCAATTTTTGATTTATTGATGTACAATTATCGGACATTCTTACGGTGAAGGATCTTGTGACCTGCATTTATCTAGGAAGAAATTCAAAGATATGCATAGGTCAGGCGGCACTGGGTCAGCGTGGTTAACTATGGCTTAATCCCCCCTAACTTTGGGTGGGCTCCTTGTAAATCATGTGACGAAAAATTCAAACTCTCATTTTCCTTACCGACTGAGATAAGTCTATTTCAAACGAATATTTCGTCTGTGAAAAGTCACTACAAAAATACTCCTTAAGACGTACTAAATAAGGTTGATTTTGATAATACCTCGTCGGTTTCTGAATCTTCGTACAATGCACGATATTTAATATCAAAGAGAAAGTTAAATGTCGTACTTATTTGTTATTTATTGGGTTCTCCTTTGTCCGCAGCATCTTGTCGCTCACTTTGATTCCCTCTTTAATATTAAAATTAATATTGAGATTGGGAATATTGTGAACAAAACCTTTATTAATTACAATTGCGTCTTACTACTCCTTTGACATTTAAAGCTATGCGTCCATTGGCCTACACCGGCCGCACACGCACGGCCCGCTACGGATTTTAATTTGCTTTGTATAATTTTACATAGTGATCCGTCCATCATCCGCGCCGCCCACATCGAAAGATGGCATTTATCAACAAGCAATCCATTGCGGGCCGTGAATGCGGTGTTTCCAGCGCGGGCCTAAGGATTCGTACCTTTAAGGTAATTCCTTAGTGTAATGTGTATCTACGTTAATTAAGGCTTAAACGAATCTTACTGTAAGGCTAAATTAATATTTAGATTTTGTTCGAGTATAATCTAAACAATTTAGTATTTTATCTAGAACTAGCTACCGCCCGCTGATCCTTCCGCGCAGAATAAAAAAAAAACTTAATAAATAGCCTATGTGTTCTTTCAGCCTATGCTCTACAACCATGCTAAATTTCAGCGAAGTCCATCACGCCGCTCTGAAGATACCTTCTTACAAATATCTATCCCTTAATACATCTAAACGTTCGCATTTATAATATTAGTAAGGTATAAACTTTTTTTAAGTTTAAATAATGTTTTGGAACCAACCAATAGATGGCGCTATCCTCAGTCAGTCGGGGTTTTTAAATCAAAGTTAATTTATTCCTGCAGTGTTGAATCAACCAAAAAATCCAAATTAAGTTATTGTTATAGCAAGAACGAAGGTTCTAAAAGTCAAACAAAGTGTATTTACATTTATAAAATCGTGCACGTATCTCTTACATAGTTCTGAATTCAACAAAAATGTTACCAAGAACTAGTTTCAATGAAATATCGAAAGCGATAGAATGTTCGCCTTCGAATAAATTCAAACGGCGTTCGTGCATTTTATATAACATCAGTTCTAAGAATATTGATTCAATACAATCAAAAAGTTGTGTATATCTATATAGAATAGTTAGTAGATAGTATAGTTTTCAGTAAAAACATAACTTCGAATTCCCATGACCCCTTTGTGGATGTGTGATGGATGTGGAGAGAGTCCCACATAGCCGGAGCGGCTTTCTCCGAGGCACCCGGTATGCGTAACGCATTCCCCCTCTTAAAAAAAAGGTTCACAAAGTGTAAATCATGAGATGAAGTCTAAATATGCAGTAAGTTTGTATGAATTTGCATTTGAAATCCTGAGTTACAGTCAAAACATATCGCCATCCCTGGTTATATTTAACAAAATAGAAATAACAATACGATTTAATAGGAGATTTTGGTTTTAGAAACCGACGGTTAGAATTTTGTGTCTTCTTAGTTAACATATGAAGCTGTAATTCTAGGAAAAGATGAAAGGATTGCATTAAAGTAGACATGATCAAGAAGAGAGTAACGAATGAAATGACGGAAAGATTAAACTGATGGACGAAAACTGGTGCATTAACTCCATGTATGTAGAGATACAGGGAGATCTTTGTTCACGTTATGACATTGTTATAAAATCTGTGGAGTCCTTTAGGAGATTGGGGTAAACATAACAGATTTGGACCATTCTTTGGAAGATTAAAAAGGATTTATTTATAATTTTATTTACAACTTTATCTTTGCTGCAACTGGCACAAAATATTAGAAAGCTGATTTCGATACATTAAAAATAAATCAAAGGAAATAGAGTTGAAATAACGAGTTAAAATAAGATCCAATCGACTTTCTAATCCCAGAACGTTGGTATTATATAAGTCGAATGCGGAGAGTTCGTTGATCTATTTCTCCATTGGGAAGATTCCTGAATGAAGATGTGATTGGGGTTTTAAAATAGTTTTAGAAAGTTGCAATTTTGTTTTATTCATAATATCCATGGTAGAGTTGGCACGTCTGGCATTGGCATACACTTGTTTTTCACGTGCCAAGTTACATGTTATCTTTATACTTCTGCTATTAGAAGATAAGTCATCTATATTTCTCTAAATTATCACTATGTGTCTCACTTAGGGTTTACTAAATGACTATGAGTTTAGTGATAAATCTTGAAGTATAACATCAAAATAATTCGTACAATTGCAAAACCGCATAATGCGAAAAGATTAGGTAATTTTCATACAACAATTCGTGGAAATGGTCGACTCATTTACCCTTCAGTACCAATAAAGGTTCCATTAACTTAATGGATTCGAACCTTCCAGCGGAATATCGATAAAAGTTGAAACGGCAAAGGCAATTATTTGCGGCCGCGCGAATAAAGTTTCGGCCAATCGGACATCTTGTCTAAACTTAGTATAACTGAGAAACGACGAAAATTATTTAAAGGGAGTTGTCATTCAAATGGAGTAACCTTGAACAAGTTTGTGAAAATATTCCATTGACAAATAAAGGTAATAACCTAATTTATTATATCTTACTAATATTATAAATGCGAATGTTTGGACGGATATTTGTTTGAAGGTATCTCAGGAACGGCTCAATAGATTTTTATTAAACTTGGTACAGATGTAGAACATAGTCTGGAAGAATACATAGGCGACTTTTTAAAATTCTGCGCGGGCGGAGTCGCGGCCGACAGCTAGGATATCTGTAAGTAATAAATTCTGAAGTGTCTGCATGTACATTAAAAAAAAACATAATGTACACAAGAAATATTTGCGTTGCTTTTAACAAATCTCTGTCTGTCTGTATGTTTGTCCGCCCGCATGTGTTCCGGGTAATATTCGGAACAGGTGGATCGTTTTTGACGGGAAGATAGATGATGCACGCGGGCACATTAAAGGCTACTTTTTTAATTATGCGAAGTCGAAGGCGATCACTATATACTTTCGTAAATAATATTTACATTTTCGCACGCGAATGTACAATAAATGATCCAACAGTGAAAAGTTGATATTAAAATACAATTAACACTTTTATACGTGAGTGTACAATAAAATGTTCTCCAATACAAAAAGCGTACAACTGGCGTTGACAGTTGTGTAGAACGGTAAAGTTTCGGGCCGACAAAAAATCTACACACAAAATTCACACGGAATTCATTCCAAACTAAAGGCTTATAGAGGATATTGAGGAAATATACAGCTAGTTAAATTGCGAACAATTTTTTTTGTATTCCGTCACTATCTTGTGAATTTTGGTGTTAAATTAAAAAAAAAAAATTTAAATATATTTTTGAGATTTTTAAAGCGCCTAATGGTACGGATTTCCTATCACGTGGTTGAGAGTTCGAATGCCGTCATTCGACTACTGTCGTAAACTATATAAGGCATAAGCTTAGAGGTTAGAAGCAATGGTACAAGGAATTAGTTAAATTAACAAAAACCTGCTAATATTTTAGATAAAAATGCAGGCAATTCGTTTAAATATAAACATTGAGAGAGGAAAAATTAATTGGTTATGCAAATTATCTTTCTCATGGTGAATAATGTCAATAATTTTGCGGATTTGCTCTTCGTGTTACCAATGATGATTGATCCAATGGACGAAAACTGGTACACCAACCCTGCGTAAGTTCCCACTTATCTTTATCCCTAAAGACTGAGGACCTAGTAAGAATATTCGTGAGAAGGTTCTCGTAACGTCACCAACAAAAGTATTAAGTTTTCTCAAACAAATGACACATTTTATCAATTACTTTACGAAGGTGGAAATTTTCCTGCTAGGCCATTAGTTAAACAAAAATCCTTGGCAGTAAACAAAGTAATACACTAGGTTCCTGCATTCTCCTGACTGTTAAGTTTTCCTTCTTACTACACTGACCTGATTTACATTTGTTACTGAGTGGGCAGGAGCATCGTGCGCCATTACAGGAATCGCAGTCACAGCTTTCGACCGCAGCAGTCCACGGCGGCGCCACTGTCGCACCTGGCACCTAACAAACATATCAAAGAATAACTACAGAGTCTGACTGTCTCATCATTCTTAAAACTCGTAAAAGAATCGATCTACCGTCGGTTTCTGATACCATATTTTTGGAATAAAACATATCGCCCTCCCTGACATTTAATAAAACAGAGATAACAACATTTTGGTCTCAGAAACTTACGATTAGAGATTTTTCATTACTGCAACTTATAAGTGATCGTTCCAAGATACAACCAATCAGGTTATCTCATCTATTTCCCTTGAAATATAACGTCTAAGGGTGATAGATATCCAAGTATTCCCCTTGTTAAAAACTAAACATGCTTTATGTCCACTCCTAGTTATTTTGTTAACCATTTCATTTTGATATAACTAATTTGAACGAAACTGACATCGATGACGTCACAATTCTTCAAGTCTGCTTATTTACTCCCTTCTCGTAAAAAGAAATTCCTATGTATTACATAATAACTTACCTTTTGTTCCAAACTCGGACCGAGTGTTGTTACTTTAACATTATCAAGATTGGCTTCTTTTAATTTGTCCTCGGAAATTATATTTATATCAGTTTTGCTGACTCCATCTTCTATCAAACTTTTAAATCCATCGATTTGTTTAGATATTTCTCCAGTATAAGTATAATTTGTTTCTTTTATATCATACTGTATTGTCGGTGATGTTGTTAATATGTTCTCCTCGGAATGTTTTTCGCTAACAATAGTTTTATTAATTCTATTGGACGGGGCTATTTCTAGTTCTGCTGAAAATGATACGTCTTTCTGATATAGAACATCCTCTTTTGTACCCGTAGATTCCGTTGATTTTGTTGCGTTTAATTCTGTAACAAATATAAATTTATTATATTAATTTTAGAAATTAATCATCACTTTTTGCTGGCTTAATTACTTGTATAAAATAATAGCGATCGCCCTCAACTCAGTACGCGCGAAATTAAAAATAAAACATTATTAGTAGCCTGTGTGTTCTCCCAGACTATGCTTTATATGTATGCCAAATTTCATTAAGATCCGTTCAGCCGTTCTGGAAATACCTTCTAACAAACATCCATCTAAACATTTGCATTTATAA